GAAGGTCAGGAATACAGGTTTAGACAGATCAACCTTTTCATTCATGCCAATGGTGCCATGATATGAGAGATCAGTTTCACTCCCAGTGTCCCTCTTCTCTTATCAAAAAAGGATCCATTCAGCACATCCCCAAGAGATCGATAAGTGATAAATGCAACTGCACTCCTCTCTGAGAAAATAAGAGATAAATCATTTTAGAAGGTGTCCATAGTTTGAAGAATCAGTACACTAGAGTCTTGTGCGAGTCACAAGGCAAACACAATGTATAGTCAAAATGACCTTGGAAATACCTTAAATTGCCCAATCAACGCATTACATGTAGTTTGGGGTACAGCATTTTGTATATGTAATGAGTGTTATAATACACCACACATTATAAAGGATACATATGCAATATATCCCATTGATACGTTGTAAAAATATATATGAGCCCTTAGACATCAAAATCAGAGTCATGAGGCAAGATGTTTGTCCTCAGAAGGTGGGACTGAGGTAGGATGAGGAAACCATACATTCTCATCTTCCATCTCAAGCTCACTCTGGGCTATCTAATTTAGTGGAAAGGATGCAGGATGACCCATTCGATTTAATTCATTCTCCCTTCTTCCCTCTCTCTCCCTCTCTCTCTGGCTCTGTCTTCGTCTCTGTCTCTCTTTCTCTTTTCCTTTCTCCCTCCTGTCCTTTTCCCCTCCCCTTTTCATATGAGAATAATTTAATTTATAGAAGATAAATGCACATATGACACTCTGTAGCATGATGCAGTGTTTCCTCAACTGCAACTATGTATTTGTGTGCTGCCATCCCAGTTTTAGCGAAAGCCACTTACTACCTGTATTATTATTCACTCCATTTAAAAAACAAACTCATTTTTATATCTTTTCACCTCTCTGGCCTGCATTATACAGCTCATAGTAAGGACTGAAGATTAATCAGTAGCCAGAAACTTTCTGGAGAAAATGTGGCAGGCGTTTTACTCTTTCAAGGTAACTGGGTCTTTTTGAAATATTTTTCACGCATCCAATAATTAATATGTTTATTCCTTTAGTCATCTAATATTTATTGAGCATCTGCTGTGTGCCACACAGTGTTCTAGGCATTGTGGTACAGCAGTGGACAAAACAGGCAGGGTCCCTGCCATCAGAGAGTTGGCATGATGGGAGTGATGGACAGCAAACAAATAAACACATTAGAAAAATATTGCATAATGTGGATGCTATGCAGAGACTTAAATAAGGTGACGGAATAAAGCAGGGGTGGCAGACTACTGCCTGAGGGTCAAATCCAGCCTACAGCCTGTTCTTGTAAATAAAGTTTTATTGGCACACAGTCATGCCCCTTCATTTATACATTGTCTATCGCTGCTTTCCCACTACAATATCAGAGTTAAGATCATCTGGCCCCAAAAGTCAAAAATATTTACTATCTGGTCCTTTCACAGAAAAAGTTTGCCAACCTGTGGGATAGAAGAAGACTGAGTGACTATTTTAAATAGTACGATCATAAAATGCTACTCAAGGGGAAGAGTGTTTGAGACAACATTCATCTGCCACTACTGAGTGTTACCTTTTCAGACCATCACATGGAAACAGGGTATGCACCTGCCTGTCCCTTTTAAGGAAGCATGTCAAGAGATCCCTGTTTGAACCTCAGTGTGTGTCACAAAGTGTGCCCCCAAAATTGCCTGGTTGTGGTCAAGGCAGATCTTTTAATTTCACCAAGTAGAAACCCCCCGCTTTGAAAATTTTGTAAGTCTCCACCTCTTGGATGGTCACCTAGAAACAAAATGACAGAGCCTAGAATTTGCAGGTCAAGAGAATCTATCTTAGGTACAGTACCTCTTCTGGCTCCTTTGAAAGCAGCAGTGCAGTCAATATCCATTGTGTTGTTTCCAGCTTCCAGAAGAGTCTTCTCACTTGTCTCACTGCACTTCTTGGTTTCATAGACTGGAAACATTAAGAAAGTGAGTCCTGCTTTGTTCACTTATCATGGCTAAAAAACTTGTAGAACTCCCTTCTCTGAAAGACCTTTTACTGGTGATTTAATTCTCTGCATGCCAGGTAGACCAGATGGCACACCGCTCCCTCCACATTTCTGGCTGGTGGGGATGAAATGGTCAAAATGACCTAAGCAACACACACTGACCACACAACCCAGGGGAAGAGAGGAGGTGGCCAAGCTTCCCAGAGCTGGAACTAGAGTGGGCAAGCCTACCCTTTACAGAGAACATTTACAGGGCAGAAAATGTTACATAACATGTACTGGAGTGCCTGATGCGGAGGGGAACTTAATTTTTTAAGTAAGAGAAGCTAAGCATTTAGAAGTTTTCCAAGGAAACAGTCACCTGGGAGCAGATCTGCTGTATTTGGGAAGAATCTCATGAGTGAACTCTCTCCGTGCCATATAAACATACAAACACAAGGTCTGATGAAAGACCATCCTCATAAAATTTTTTGGTCATAAGGAAAATGCTCAACGTTTCTTACCTATATCAAATTCAGAATTTTCATGCTTTCCTGGAGAAGCAAAACTTGCGTTCCATATGGCCAATTCCACGTTTTGAAGGACTTGGGTGGCCTGTTTTGCAATGTGCTCTTTGCTTTCATTTTTCCTCAGAATTTCCTTTCAAAGAAATAAATCCAACTAGGTAGACTCCTACTGAAACTTAAGAAAGCAGGAATATACATAAGTGTGGTTGGGTAAGCCCAGAAGGCAATAATATTTATGAAGTTGTTACTACACTCTGTGCTATCAAGCTGGTATGTGTTTTCTCACTTATTACACACAGGCCCATGAAGGGCGTGTGTTATCGTCACCGTATTTATGAGAACACGAAGGTTTAAAGGATGAGAGATCTGAAACCCATGGCGAGTGCCTTATGGAGGAAGAGAGGGAATGGGAAGGGGGATACGGGTGGAATCAGGCTCTGGATGCTTATGCAAGTCTCTGAATGACAGCTGAGGCATTTAAACCCTTTCCCAGGGCTTCTAGGTCTCTGTTGATCCTCAAGACCAGATAAAGGTTGTGGGAAGCTGTCCTGGGCATTGTAGGATGTTTAGTAGCATTCCTGGTCTCTACCCACTAGAGCATCCTGGGTGGGAAAACCAAAAATGTCCCTAGACATTGCCAGATGTCCCCTTGGGACAGAGGACAAAATCACTCCTGAGTGAGAACTTCTACGTCCTAAAAGTCATAGGGATCTGTGGTAGTATTTGAGCAGGAGAATGACATGGTAAGACTGATCGGCTGTTCCCGAAACCTAGGCTTCACTTTACTCACCCAAGTGTCCACCGACGGTTTCTCATTATGAGCATCCTCTGGGAGAGAAAAGAAGCCATTGAATGGAGTATGAGAGTTAACACGCCCTGGTTCCCATCCCTTTTTCTAATCATCCTCAAGTTGGGTCTTTCCCTGATGCTTCCACAACCTATCCGAATACTCCTCTCAGAAGTCCCAAATCTCTTCCACAGTAGAATTGGAAAATGGAATTAGGATGGAGCCTCCAGTTCAATAATTCAGTCAATAGTATTTATTGAACACCTACTGAAAGCCAAGCATGATGCTAAACCTTACGGATACAGGTCGGTAAAGAGCTGACGGGCAGCCCCTTGTGGGATTTTCAGTCTGGCAGAAGTCACTAAGCAAATAACGATAATTAAATAGTTAAGTGATTGCAATGGTCCAATATATTCATAATAAATAAGATGAGATGGCTTGAGAGTATAAAGAAGATGGGTCCAGCACATCATGGGGTGCAGAGAAGTCGTCCTGAAGGAAAGGATGTTAACCAAGTTAATAATTTAGAAGCAGTACTAATACCCACAGTCGTCTACACAGCATGATATATAAAGTACCTTCATATATACTATCTCATTTAAAAGAACATAGAAGGTTCTAGAACAGAGTTAAGTAACATGACAGCTAAAATTTATTGAGTCTTCCTAGGTGCCTAGCACTACGCTAAACACGTTACATGCCTTAGTAGTCACAGGTGAGGTGTATTCATTCCCTAGGGCTGATGTAACGAAGTACAATACACTGGGCTGCTTAAAACAATAGAAATTTACTCTCTCCTGCTTCTGGAGGCTAAAAGTCCAAAATCAAGGTGTGGGTAAGACTGCAGTCTCTCTGAAGGCTTTAGGGAAGATCTTTCTTTGCTTCTTCTAGCTTCTGGTTGCTGCCGGCGATCTTTGATGCTCCTTGGCGTATGGCAGCAGAACCCCAATCTGTGCTTCTGTTTGCACATGTCCCTCCGTGTGTGTCTCCACGTCCAAATCTCCCTCTTCTTATAAGGACACCAGTCTTCTTAGATTTCGGGCCCATCGTAATCTATATGATCTCATCTTGATTTGATTATATCTGCAGAGACTATATTTCCAAATACGATGACATTCACAGGTTTCACGAGTGGACATGAAATTGATGGCACGCTACCCTACCCAGTATTTTAGGTAAGCAGGTTTCTGAAATGACTCTCAATGATCCCTGCCTCACATCCCTTTATTCACTGCCCATTGACTTGTCACTTCTGAGAGCTCAGAGAAGACTATGACTTCTGTTTTGCTCTCTTTTTATGGCTATTCTCATGTGCTTGTTGTAACAACCAAGCTAGAGAGGCTGACATGCTAAGAACTGGGGGTGGCCTCTCATCAACCACCAGAGAGGAACTGAGGCCTCAGTCCAACAACATCCAGAGACCTGAATCCTGCCAGCAGCCCTGTGAGTGAGCCTGGAGGAAGATCTGCCCGTGGGTGAGTCTTCAGATGAGACTGCAGCTCTGGCCAACACTTTCATTACAGTTGTGAGAAACCCTGAAGCGGGGGACCCAGGTAAGCCGAGCCTCAATTCCTGCCCTACACAGACCATGAGACAATAAACATGTGTTGTTTTAAGCCACTAACATTGAAGTTATTTGTTACTCAGCAACACACAACTAGTACAGTAGATACTATTATCATTCCCACTAATGGACGAGGAATATAGAAGTTAAGGCATCACCCAAAAGTCAGCTGGTAAGTGGTAAAGCCAGAAATTAAATCTAATCTGTCTAACTCAAAACCTGGAATTATACTAGGGACGAGAAAATAAGTAAATCCTGCATGTTGGATCGTGAGAACCTGGTTTCTCAGTGTTGGAGAAAGAATTTACAAATAAGAAAAGAGGGAAGAGTAGATCAAGCCCTGGTGTTGGACTGGAATTGGGGGTATCGCTATGAACTCATGGGCTTTAATACATAGACAGGTAGAGACGTATAGAAAGTGAATTTAAAGAGAGTGAGAGAGAAACAAGTGGAGAAGTCCAGTAGCAAATTAGAGATGTCATTTTGGAAGCCCAGGAAAGAGATCCATTCGGGAGACATAAATTTGTAAGATGTCTACATAGACATGGTTATCGATGTCAGGAGCTTGAATGAGATCTCCCAGGAGAAGATTGCCGAGGACAACAATGGATAGAAGGGCAAGGGCCAGGACACATCTCTACTCTCTCACCCTGGTCTGAAATTGGTGGAACTCTAAAAGGCTTTCCTTCCACATCCTTTCTCATGGTGGAAAGAGTATTTGGAGATTCTTACCATAACAGTCTGGATGATTCAATTTAATGAAACCGGCCACCCAGTTGAAGAGAGGATAATTCGGGACACAGCTGCAGTAGTAACTTCCAATTGTATTTCTGCAATATGATTTCTTCTTGCACTTTGCCAGCCCAGTATTACACTCATCAATATCTGTGAATCAAGAGAAAACATTGTTGTTCGTCTCATAGAACTAAACCATCTCCCTTGCCTGTGAAATCTCTACTACCCAACATTGTTCACGAATATACCCAAAACATCGCCTGTTCTTGGATAAGATAACTCAACATTATAAAGATGATGGCTCTCCTTAAGATAACTTATAAATCCAATACAACGCCAATAAAAAATAGCTACACATATTTTATAGAGTGAGACAAGTTGATACTATTACACAAGAATATCCAGAAAAACCATGCCATGGGAACTAGCCTTACCAGATATTAAAACATACTATAAAGTCTCAGTAAGACAATAAGGTGCTGGTGCATGAATAGATAGACTAATGGGATAGACTAAAAGGCCAGAGATAGACCCAAGCATGTATGGAGCTTTAGAAGATGATAATGGTGGTGTGTCAAACCGCTGGAGTATGGATGGAGTTTTTTAAATGCTTGAATCACACAGTTTATTAAATCAACTTAAAACACACAGTAGCAAGGGACAACAGATAGGATAAGTGAATACAGTGAGGTGTCGCTTAACGACAGGGATACAGTTTGAGAAATGTGTCCTTAGGTGATTTTATCATTGTGCAAACATCGCAGGATAAACTTACACAAACCTAGATGGCATAGCCTACCTCCCACTTAGGCTATATGGTACTAATCTTATAAGACCGCCATTGTATATGCAGTCTATTGTTGACCAAAACGTCATAAATGTCATTATATGGCGCATAACTATACTATTAGGAAAGGGTGCAAGTAAGATAAAGGGCCACACTACTTAAGTCTTGGGTTAGGCAATGTTCCTATGTCCTGCTTCTTTCTGCCACATCAGCCTTGGCCACTAATGGACCACAGTTGAGGTTCAAGCAAAGGGACCCATGGACAGAAGGTGTCCTGAGCTGATGACAGAATTATTTTCGCTGTTGGAAGGACTCAGGTCAAGTACACTTGGCCAGTGGCTGTAACTTACTACTAGTCTTCTCAGCAGTCAATGGGTTTTGTTTAGGTTGCGGGTTGATGTGTTTTGGGCAGAGGATATACAAGCCAGAACAGCTATCACCGAGGAGCGACTGAATTAAGACTCCACAGAGATGAAGTGCTAGTGTGTAGCTGGTATATATCATATATCTGGGGGTTAACTCCCTCTTAGATACTTAATTTGTCATGAATATTTTGTAACTACGTGTCTCGTGTATATTTACTGCTTCATGAATGTTACCATTGGTCTTTCCATTCCTTTCTATCTACATTTAACATACACAAGCCTTGCCTACTAACCACTTATCTACACATCGTATGAGTTTCATAAATTCCATTTGTTTTTTTCCTCTTCTGCAGTAGAACTGAATATTCTCAAGCGTATGACAAATGCACATTACACCTTGGCACATATTTCCCTTCTTATCATGCCCTTTATCCTGGTCAGGATGTATTTTTTAATAAAACATAATGAGACCTGTACCTCACACCATTCTCAAAAATAAACTCTACATGGATCAAAGATAATGTAAAAATGGAGCCATACGATTTGTAGAACTAAACATAGGTAAATTCTTCTTTAGTCTCAGTGTAGGGGAAGGCATTTTAACAATGACTTAAGATCCTTGATAAACTTACCTACATAAAAAATATTTTTTATTTAACTGCATGGCTAAAAAATATGTCAGCAAAGTCCAAAGGCAACTGACAAACAGGGAGGAAATATTTGCAATGTATACAACAGACAAAGGACTAACACCTCTAATATGTAAAGAACCCAAAAATTGAGAGACAAAGAAACAAAAGCTCAATAGAAAAACAGGGAAAAGACATGAACAGATAATTCACGAAGAAGTATAACGCAAATTATGGTCCTTTAACATGAAATGTTCAATCAAATCGAGAGTGGAGACGGTTGAACAACAATGTGAATGCACTTTGATGCCACTGAGCTGGAAACTTAAAAAAGGATAAAATGGTAACTTTTGTTATGTATATTTTATTCAACTGAAAAACGGAAATAATTTAAACAAATAAACAAATACAATAGTGTGCAATTCCGCTTATATGACTCCCCAGAGTAGTCAAATTCATAAAGATAGAAAGTAGAATAGTAGGTGCCAGGAGCTGGGGGAGGCAGAACGAGGAGTTGGTGTTTACAGGGACAGAGTTTCAGTTTGCGAAGGTGAGAAAGTTCCGTGGACGGACGGTGATGATGGTTGCACAACAATGTGAATGTACTTAACGCTACTGAAAGACACATCTGAAAATGGTTACAGGGTAAACTGTATGTTATGTATATTTTTCCACAATAAAATGAAATAAACTAAATCCTAAATAGTCTACTATTTTCTGCTTCACCTTCTGAATTTACACGGCAACTCCCTTAATCAGACATCGAGTTCCACCGATCCGATACTCGGGAGTGACAGTTCCCTTAGATTTTCAAACTGACCTTTAGAATTTGCGGAAATGAGAAGCAGTTTTGGCTGGAGCAGATGGGAGTAACAAAAAGTGAAACTGGAAAACTAAATTGTAGCCAGAGCATGGAAGATATTGAGTGCTAAGATGTTCATTTGTTCATTTGTTCTCTTGGTGAACACCTTTTTATTGGGCACCTGCTATGTGACGTTATTCTCTGTCCTAGGCGTACAGCGGTAAAGTCAGGTACGACCCTTGCCCTTGTGGAATTCTCAGACAAATAAACAAACAAAAAACAGCAGTGTCTGAGACTTCAAGAGGCCAGGATCCTGGGAACTCTACCTTCCTCTAAGGAAAAAACCAAACCAGTATCAAGGATCATCAAGCCAGCATTAGCATGAGAGCGGAAAGGAGATAAGAGCTAGAATTCTCTAAGGACACTGAGCCAGCCCTGCCATTTTTCACCTTGTAATATCACTGCATCTTTGCAGCACTAGCACCCCCATGTAACACAGTGTTTAGGGCTTACAAAGATGCCCCTGACCCCTTCCAAACCCCAAGTTGAGTGTGGATTGCTTCCTTACCTTCACATTTCTCAGAGGACTCGGTGACGTATCTCCTCCCAGCCGTGGAATGAAATCCATCTTTACAAGCACAGTGGGTGCTATTGTAGCAGCTGGCATTTTCAGGGCATGGAGGACAGAAAGCTACAGGGAGCACAGGATCCACTCATTCACTTGTTTATCCATTCATTCAAGAAATATTCATTGAGCATCTATGATACATCAGATGTTGTGGCTGGAAGAATGTCTTCTTGGGAACAGCTCTGTTGACATCCCTTGGCACTCATCTCACTGCTGAACACAGATGCTCACAGCGCTTCACCCATATCCCACCTCTGTCTCTAAAACCACTTTTGCCTGACAGTAAAACTTCCAACTGTCAGCACCTGAGTTTCTTTACTAAGGGATTTCTCTGTCCACCAGAGGCCTCTTTGTTTACCACTTGGCAGGTTAGCAATGTCTTCTCGCCCCCAGGAGCACCCTCCTCGTCACTGACTGTCGAGAGACAGTGTATTAAAAAACCCAGATGCTTTATTACAAAAATTAGACAGAGAGTAACAAGCATTGGTAGGATGTTGAGAAATTGTAACCCTAGTCCACTGCTGCTAGGAATGTAAAATGGTGCACCTGTTTTGGAAAAGAGTATAGCAATTCCTAAAAAAATTTTAAATTATAATTAACATATGATCCAGCAATTCCACTCCTGGTATATATCCCAAAAAATTGGAAAGAGGATCTTGAAGAGATAGCTGTACAGCCATGTTCATAGCAGCACTATTCACAATAGCCGAAAAGTAGAAGCAACCCAAGTGCCCATTGGTGGATGAATGGATAAACAAAATGTGGTCCATCCATACAATGGAATATTATTTAGCTTTGAAAAAAGAAGGAAATTCTGACACATGCTACAACATGGATGAACCTTAAGGACATTATGATAAATAAATATGCCCGTCACAAAAGGACAACTACTAAGTGATTCCACTTACATGAGGCACTTAGAGTAGTCAAATTCAGAGGCAGAAAGTAGAATGGCAGGTTTCAGAGGTTGGTGGGAGAGGGAATAAGGAACTATTATTTAATGGGTACACAGTTCAGGGTTCTTTTTTTGTGGTCTTTTGGTGAGGAAGATTGGCCCTGAGCTAATGTCTGTTGCCAATCTTCCTCTATTTTGAATGTGGGATGCTGCCACAGCATTGCTTGATGAGCGGTGTGTAGGTCCATGCTCAGGATCTGAACCGGCAAACCCTGGACAGCTGAAGTGAACTTAACCACTTCACCACTGGGCTGGCCCTCATGGTTTCAGTTTTGCAAGAGGAAAAGTGCTCTGTGGATGGACAGTGATGATGGTTGCACAACAGTGTGAATGTACTTCATGCCACTGACTGCAACACTTGAAAATGGTTAAAATGGTAAATTTTATGATATATATATATATTTTACCACAATTAAAAAATAAATAAATAACAGAAAAATAGCTTACCCATTGGGGGGAAGAACTCTGAGGTGCATGCGTCTTATGATATCCAACAGTCTCCAGGGGATCAAACTCCAGTTACTCACATGTAACTTGCTTGATAAGGGACCCTATATTGGCCCCTCACCTCCCCATCTGATGTCCCACTCCCAGTTGTGCTCCCTGGAATCACCTCCCAGGCAAATGACTTGCTCTCAAGTCCTTACCTCAGGGGCTGCATCTGGGAGAACCCAACCCAAGACGTGGGGTAGCGGCAAAACTATCTCCAGCATGACTTGGGACAGAAGCTCTTGGAAAAGAAAGGGCGGAGTCCACCATCCACCAGTCATGTGACCTCTAGCCAACTGCTTCTCTAGAGGGAGATTGGTCAAGTGGGAATAATGTCAGGACCTTCTTTGCAAGAATGTCATGAGGATTGAATGAGATGGTACGTGCAATTTGTTTAGCACTGAGCCTGGTGCCTTGCAAGAGCTAAGTAAATGGGATCATGGTAGAAAAGGAGGAACGGTCCCTGAGAGCTTCAAGGTGTAGAAACAAGGCAGCAGAGATTTAGCGTTCTCTCCCTTGAAAAGGGCTCCTTCCCTCCACTGGAGGTAGCTTCCTGATCCCAATTTCCTTACCCAGGTTTTCAGCAATGAGCAGACTCACCTCCAGAATTCTTTGCATCTGCTCCTGACAGAGCCAGCAGGACACCGAGAGCTGAAACAGAAAGATAAAAAGGCAGTTCGGATGGAGGATGCCCTGGGGCTCTGCTTGGCTGAAGCCTGGGTGAGTTAGGGGCTCTGTCTCCCACGACCCAATCACACGTGTGCTGGCTTCACTGTAGATTCTTCCAGGCAGGCTATAAACATGAGGGTCACAGGAAGGCATCCTATACCACTGGGGCATGAGAAGTACATCCTATTGCAGCTGTAAGAGGTTCTGCACCCAATTCTAATGTGTGTATGAATGGGTTCCCACACCAACAAGCAATTCTCGGACACCAGCTGGATGCCCTCCAATTCAGCTCAATTTTGACACTATCTACCTAGAGATAGTATCAGATTACACAGGTTAAGGGCTCAGTCCCACAAGACTTGCCCCACTCCCATTTCCAATCCCAATCGCAAGTCCAGGTTGTCACCTGGGTTTCTGACTCACCAGGTGTAGATTGGAGGTTCCAATGACCCCCTCCTCGGGCTTGATTAATTTGCTAGAGCCACTCACAGAACTCAGAGAAACAGTTTACTTACTAGATCATCAGCTTATTATAAAAAGGATATAACTCAGGAACAGCCAGATGGAAGAGATGTGTAGAGCAAGATATGGGGAAAACGTAAGGAGCTCCCATGTCCTCTCCAGGAGCACCACTCTGCTTAAATGTCCACATGTTCACCAACACAGAAGCTCTCAGAACCCTGTCCTTTTGGGTTTTTACCGAGGCTTTATTACAGAGATATGATTGATTAAATCATTGGCCATTGGTGATTGAACTCCAGCCCCCTCTCCCCTCCCTGGAGGTAAGGGGATGAGACCGAAAGTTCCAACCCTCTAATCACAGGGTTGGCTCTACTGGCAACCAGCTGCCATCCTTAGGTGGCCTCGGGGCTTTCCAAAAGTCACTTCATTAAGATAACAAAAGACAACTTTATGGCTCTCATCTCAGGAGATGCCAAGGTTTTTAGGAGCTCTGTGCCAGAAACAAGGACGAAGGCCAAATATGTATTTCTTATTATAAATCACAATATCATAAGCTGTATGTCCCAATTCCTGAAAATCAAGAATCTCATAAAGCTTTTTCTCCAAGTCTAACACCAAAAGGCCAAGTTTGCAGCCTCCCTTCTATTTCAACAGTCTGTTTCCACTCGTCCAGATCTCTAACCCCACACTGTCCAATAGAAATATAATGTGAGCTGCATAGGTCCTTTTAAATCTTTCTACTAGCCACATTTTTTAAAGGCAAAGAGAAACAGGTAAAGTTAACTTCCTCAATATGATTTGCTTAGCCCAATATTGCAAAGATGTTATCATTTCAACATGCAATCAATATAAAACAAGTTATTCATAAAGTGAAACTGATACCAGCTTAACACAAGGTTGACATGAGGGAAGACATATTGTAGAAAAGAAAACATGTTGTGCCTTTGAATGACCTCTGATTAACTAACTCAGCTGGCTATGCACCCTCCAGATGATATACACGCTCTGTAGATTTTATGGCCCCTCTCAGCTGTGATAGTTGATAACTTTGTTCTTTTGCGTTCCTTAGAAATATTCTGAACCCCAGGCATGGAGTCTATGCTGATAGCCATCATCAATGACAACCGAAAGATCTGGGCATAGGGCACTGCTCCAGTCTCTGATGCATCTTCAGTAAAACAAAGGATTATCAGGAACTAAGACCATCTGTGTCTCCCACCTGGAGACCAGGCCCCTACGTAACTGGCCTTTGCTCCGTAAGATGGTTCTTTCGGACATTAGTTAGCCATCTTTCCTCTTGCTCACAAGCTGTAATAAAATTCTTTCTCTCCTACTGCCTTGCCTCTTGACTCCTGGCAGGTCTTTCAGTGAGCAGATGACTGCTCCCTTGGGTAGTAACAAAACCAGGTGCCAGCTTGCTTTAACTACACTCAGTTGTTAAAAGTATAGTTAAAACTTTACTCCGTTTGCAAAAGTGCTTAGATAATGCATTACTAAAACCTACTCTATAGATAATATCTCTGATACTTGGGTCACCATGATAATGGGTGCTTAAGTTTTTCAGGAGAGTTGAATCCTTGTCCAATTCAGGCTGGTTAAGACCCCCAACTCATCAACTGGGCCTGCAAAGATGACTGAGGTGACCCTTTGACACTGAGGAGCTGAAAACCTCACCCTCAGATCATGGCAACACCACCATTTTGTGAACGTGCGTCCTATGAAGAGCCGTGAAGCTTGACTCCACTTGCACAGATCATCAACTACCTCACTTTTCCTTATCTCCAATCATCTATTCCCACACTTCAGACCACCGTGCTCTTTTATCCCATAAATACCCCTAATCCCCATTTTTGGGGAGGCAGATTTGAGACTGGTTCTCTCTCCTCGCTTGGCTGCCTTGTGAATTAAACCCTTTCTCTGCTGCAAACTCATCATCTCGCTGATTGGCATAATTGTGCAGCAAGAAAAACAAATCTGGTTCAGTAACAAAAGTATTTTACATTCTTTTCTGTGTGCATGAAGTCTCTGAAATCCAGTATGCATTTTGCACCTGTGGCAGATCTCCATTCGGACTGGTCTCATTTCTAGTGCTCAGTAGCCACGGGTGATTTGTGTCTGTGGTGCTGGACAACACAGGTCTAACCCCTTAAGAACTAATGCTCTATCTGGAGTAAGAGGAGATCTGAATAGCACAGCCACAAGAATCCTGGGAGCCCAAGTACTGTGGCAAATTTGGAATGGATAAAGATATTTTAAGGATGATTGAAAAAAAAAAAAGTCTGCCACATTATTAGACAGAGGCTTTAATTAAAGTTGGAGATGAACTCAGAAACGCAGAAAATCTTTCCACATATTTCCTCAGATCTCTGCCTCAAGGTAAGATAGGCTGGGATAGCCTAGACACTTGAAAAATGGATTTTCCCTCATCCCTTTCATGGCAAGCAGGTTGTGTTGGAACCCTTTGCTAAAATCTGAGGCATCTGCTTTCACAGCTAACATCAGCCTCCAAATAGTTTAAGTTGAATGGGTATAATCTAGGTAATTTGGATTTGTATCATATGGAAGGGAGAGGAGTAGTAATCTGCCCATGGCCCGTTTGGATTATTACGGAACAAGTCCCCTAGACATGATAAGGCCAATATCTGCTCTTCCTACCTCCTCTACAATATTTATGATGTTCTGCTTCATGGATGCTGACAAAAACATTGTATTTAAGGATCCATACTATTACCCTGAAGCACATAACGTGGCCAGTTTTGCAAGTCAAAAAATACGCAAGCGTCAACAAATTGTCAAAGCCAGAACCACAGCCTGTTCTTGACTGACCCACAAGATAAGAATGGTTTTTACATTTTCAAGTGATTAAAAAAGTCAAAAGAAAAAGGATATTTCACAGCACGTGTAAATGATATGAACTTCAAATTTCTGTGTCTGCAAATTGAGTTTTATTGGAACATGGGATGTCCATTGGTTCGTGGAAGGTCTGTGGCTGCTTTTGCACTGCAATGTAGAGTTGGGAAGTTAAGGCAGAGACAAAATGGCTCACAGAGCTGAGAATAGTAATTATCTGGTCCTTTCCAGGAAAAAGTTTGTCCAGCCCTGACACAGGGTATTGAATATCACATGCTTGCTTATAAGATCTCCTTACAAACCCAGTCTTAAACAGGATATGACTCCTTCTAGGGTATTTTTTAAACTACCTTGAAGACCCTAAAGCCCAGAGCAGAAGGATAGATAGATCCAGAGCATTGTAACATAATGAGCTGCAATATTCCAAGCATGAATCCTCTTGATGGTTGCTCAGTGTAGCAGATGCTTGAAGTGTCCCTTAGCCTACCTCAAGGGGGATCCTGTGCATGCAGATAACTTACTGCATCCCTCTGTAAGGGGACATTTTTCTGCAGCCCATGGGGGGCAGACCAGAAATGTTTGGGGGTTATACCAGGAGTGGCTGTCAAGTAGTGAGGGATGAGGACTGGAGGAATAAGTAGCCCAGATTCATTGTCCATCTAAGGCACATTAGGTACTGTCTCTTGGAGGGTCCTCAGCGGGATTGAGTGCCAGTTACCCACAGCGGTAATCCCTCATTAATGCACCCTTCATTCACTTCTCCCTTCCCTCTCTGAATCCCCCCCTCCCTCCCTTTTTCTTGGGATCCCCTCCCAAATAAACTACTTACTTCCAAGTCTTTGCCTCAGTTCTGCTTTGGGGGAGAGCAACCAAGAAACTAATTATGAGGGTTTCTAATAGGACGGGCACACACAGTAATTTCTGAAGAAAGTGTTAAATTTGGAAGAGCGATCACAGCTAGGATGCTGGGATCAAGAGGAGAAGATATGGGAATTCTTTGTTCCACTCACCTGAGAGCAGCGGCAGGCACTTGCTTCCCATAGGACTGAGATTCCAGGAAATACAATCTGAGAAACGCTCTCAAGCAAGATGTGGCAAAGGTTCCTGGAATGAATAAGCCCCATGAAAATCAATTTGTATTGGCCACAGAGTTTAGAAGCCAGATGTCTGATGTTTATCAAAACCCTTTCATTTCTAGGGCCAGCGTGGTAGCACAGCGGTTAGGTTCACACGTTCCACTTTGGCGGCCCGGGGTTTGCCGGGGCAGATCCTGGGTGCAGACCTACACATCGCTTATCGAGCTGTGCTGTGGCAGGTGTCCCACATATAAAATAGAGGAAGATGGGCACAGATGTTAGATCAGGGCCAGTCTTCCTCAGCAAAAAGAGGAGGATTGGTGGCAGAGGTTAGCTCAGGGCTAATCTTCCTCAAAAAAAAAAAAAAAACTTTCATTTCTGCCGATTTTTTAATCCAACAATTCCACTTCTGGGAAATTATCTTAAGGAAAGGATCTTGCAAGGATGATCAAGCAGAACTGCTTATAGGAAGCAAGCTTACCACCCAGGAAACAGGAAACAAAAATGCATCCAGTGGAATATCCCACTGGAATCGAAAATCCTGTTCTATTGTGATCAGCAAAATCCAGAATGTGGAAAACTCTAAAGGACAAGCTAC